CGGGTAGTTACCCACCTCCCCGGGCGCGCCACAAACCGGGTAGTTACCCACCTCCCCGGGCGCCCCAAACTGGGTAGTTACCCAGCTCCCCGGGCACCACAAACCGGGTAGTTATCCAGCTCCCCGGGCGCCCCCCAAACCGGGTATTTACCCAGCTCCCCGGCCGCCCCGTAAACTGGGTTTTTACCTAGGTCTCCGCATGCCCCAGCCGGTATTTACCCAGCTCCCCGTGGGCCCCAGCCAGGTATTCCCCAACCCCCGGGCGTCTCTCACCTGGCGTTCGGCTGGCTTGCGGCAGTCCCCGCACATGGTGCCCAGTAGCCCGTTGAGCACCTGCAGGGTGCACAGGGCCAGCTCCATGGCCCCCAGCCCCAGGGTGACGGAGAACAGGACCACGTGCCACAGCACCACCCGTGGCGGAGTCACGCACAGCTCCCACAGCGTCCGGTTCGCCAGGTAGTTCTCGCTGTGGGGCGGGGGGACACAGTCAGGGTGAGGCGGCTCAGGGAGCAGAGCGGGGGGGGAGTGTGATCCTGGGCGGCCGAGGTCAGGGAGGGGGGCAGCGAGTGGAATCAGAATTGGGGGCAGGAGTGGTGGGGGAAGGGGGCAGGGAGCGTGGGAGTTGGGGTGCTATCTTTATGAACCTCCCTTCCCCACGCCTGCCTTGTTTTCCCCAGGGGGTTCCTGTTGGCCTTGGGGTGGGGTGGGAGCGAGGGAGGGGGTGCGCCCCCAGCACTGCCAGGGGAAATTTTGGGGCATTGCGGAGGGGCAGACCTGGGTCCATGGGGTGGGGGGGACCTGGATCTGGGGGGAGGCAGGATTTCTGAGAGCTGTGGAAGGGGGAGGATTCCGGTGAAGGTTAGGAGCAGGGCCGGCTTTAGGCCAATTCAACCAATTCCCCTGAATCGGGCCTCGTGCCTAAGAGGGCCCCGCGCCCAAGCCCCGGCACAGCATACCGGCAGGAGCCAGTGCGCCGTACCGGGGTGGCCCGGCTTCCCCAGGGGGCAATTTAAAGGGCCTGGGGCTCCCAGCATGGGCTCGAGACCCAGGCCCTTTAAATTGCCACCAGACCCCCACTGCTGGAGCCCTGGGGTAGGGCTGCGGAGCTCTGGGGGCTATTTAAAAAGTCCGGGGCTCCCGTTGCTTCTACTGCCCCGGCCCTTTAAATAGCCGCTGGAGCTCCGCAGCCCTACCCCAGGGCTCCAGCAGTGGGGGTCTGGTGGCAATTTAAAGGGCCTGGGTCTCGAGCCCATGCTGGGAGCCCCAGGCCCTTTAAATTGCCCCCTGGGGAAGCCGGGCCACCCCGGTACGGCGCACTGGCTCCTTGCCTCATGCTGTGCCGGGGCTTGGGCCGGGGGCCCCCCTCGGCACGAGGCCCGCGTCAC